ATTGCGGGATCTGGCGGTACGGTAGTTCCGCCCCTGTAACTCATTATGAAACTACGTGTCAATGCTACTGTCTGGTCTATGTAAAAAATAAAAGATCGAACAAGGTTCAGGTCTCTGGATAGATCCACGAATTATTTTGGATGGAATTTATTTATTCTTTCCTGGTTTCTCTTCTTGCTATTCTATAAAATACCTAGATCTAGCTCTTGTGCGAAAATACGATTTATTTCAACTTAGTTATCCATTCCACAATTTTCTGAAAATGCCCCCTCACCACTTCAGAAAATTATCTAAAAGATACCCTGATAAGGGGGTCGTCAATAAATGACGTCACACTCGTGATGGTATGTGATTAGGGGGGGGGGGGGGGCGCTCAGATGGCGTGAAGTCACACTTTTGCATTATAAAAAAAGCAATGTTAGAAAACGAATTTTAGCCGTTATTTCGCGTTTTAGAAAACTGTTTTAATAAATTGTAAAGGGAATTGATTAAAATACTCTATGTTGACAGAGCTCTGACAAGATTTTGAAAAATATCATATTTTAAGAAAAATTCAACTGCACTTTTGAGAGGGGTTGTAGGCTGAGGTGTGACGTCATTTTAGGGGGGAGCTGGCTTTTAGTGACGATGTGTAACGCAGGGGAAGGGGGGGGGGGGTAAAAATCGTCAAAAAAGCGTGTCGTCATTTATGAATGCCCCTTAAAAGGCTCTACGTGCATAAAACTCAACACAATAATTCATCTTTTTAGCTATTTAGAGGATCTACTAGTTTCAACAAAAGCTAGATTTTGAACATTAATGATGGGTGGATTAGAGCAATTTGTTTTGCATGTTTAACAAAATTAGCTACACATTGAAACGAGTCCTAATACTAATAATGGCGTTGTAAGGTCGTTTCGGTATCTGCCTAGATCGAAATGTTGCGCGGGATCACTTTCTGTTATTGTTGAAAACCTTTACCATTACAATGTAGTATGTAAGTTAGTAAGATAATAATGATAAGCTAATGAATGTTGTTTGTTTTTGAAGGCACGAGAAAATGAGGGGCTCTACTGCAACCTGGTCACCCACTCCTATTAATCCTCTATTACTCAATAGATCTAACTCACCCCTACAACTATAAGATACCTAAACCCCTGGTAGCTTACACACATCATAGGCATCCACTGCTGTAGTCAGCATAAAAAATATCTGGTCTAAATTTGTTATTGGAATTTCCCAAAATACGTAGTGGGAATTTCCCGTAAATGATCCCCCCCCCCCCGTTAAGACCTAAAAAGAGAACACGTCATATTTTCTTAAGCTCAGACCTACTCTGAAGTACATTGTGTACAATCGTTAGACCGTTGGTGCCATTATATTATATACGCTTATTTTGAACAAAAATAAACACGTAAGTTAGATTTATACACCCTTATAAGTAAAACTCCATTTTAGTGTGTTTTGGTTGTGTTTAAAATAAAATACGCTCAAACAAAGGTGAACATGTTTTCATATTATAAGCCTATTATTCAATAAAAGGACATTATATTGTACTAGTAATTCTTTAAAGTAGAAACATTGATAACTAGGAAACCTTATATTAATAATGGCTTATAATATTATGTTTTCATATACGCTATTATTCAAATAAAAATGACATAATTTGTTACAGTAATTCTTAAAGTAGAAACATTGATTAACTAGGAAAATTCATGTGTGCCTAGCTACGCTACACTACTAACTACTAACTAGTAACTACTAACTAATCAATCTAGCTACTACTAGCTAGAATCTAGCTAGTAATCTAGCTAGTAGTAGATCTAGTAGTAGTAGTAGGCAGAAGGGCCTAGCTAGTCTGATTGCTATTCGTTAACTGTAGTAACTTACTAACTTCACTAAGTTAGTAACTTACTACTAGATCTAGATCTAGTAAACAAATCACAAATGATGTGGTGGACCTACAAGTCCTACAAGTCACTACAAGATGTAACACTGTTAAAGAATAATCCCTGACTGAATGAAACTATTTCTCTCTGTTTTCACAGTATGGCTGACTCGTGGGGTATGTTTTTTTTTAATCACATTGTAGATCTATATATATAGTATATATTTTTTACAATTTGTAATACATTCATTTACCCCTCCCCCATTTGTTTTATATTTTGCAAAAGAATATTTTCTATGGCTATGTGTCATGTGAAGATTTCATCCAGCACCAATTTGCTAACCCACATGTCTTAAATAGAAATATGTTTAATAGGGTTCTATATTTCTGAGTTATAAATGCCCATGGGTAGTCTACCCGGCTCCTGTTAAGGAAAGTGAGCATAGAGTTGATCTCACTATACAATACACTCTTTTTATATACCACGATTTGCAAAATTAACTTTACCCTATGGAGGGTCAGATCTGAAAGAGTACTTCACAGTATTATATATACACAGTATTATAATTATATATATATATATATGTATATATATATATATATATATATATATATATATATATATATATATATATATATATATATATATATATATATATAATACATGTATATAGAACGTGTTAAAAATTTGGCGCCTTTTTTGCTCATTTCGCTCCCCTACAACGAAAACCTGGATACGCCTCTGGTACTTCACTTATATAAAGATGAATAAAAAAATGTTTCCCTTAAAAAATCTTTGCCAGAGAGTGATGCTGTGGGTGTTGAATTACCTGTTCATTTTTTACCAAACGAGGAGAGCACAGACTGTGAACTTAAATTTAAGGATGATAAAACTAATGCAGATCTGACTGTTGAACAGGTAAAGTTTTTCTAATAATAGAAATGATTTAACAGGGATTAAACTGTATAGAGATCAAGTTTAATTAGACAATATTACTTAAACATTTTCACTGCAGTAGTGTTAAATGGTAGGGGTGACACCAATTCGTTAGTGGGTGACGTCATCAGATTGAAAAATCATAAACTTTACTGTCATAGTAGAGAAAAGGGATGACACCAAACCGAAAATGAATAATTTTTGGAGGGGAGGGGGGGGTGTTGACACCCTCAGTTACTGCACCCGACCTACTGATGCCACTGCATGTCAACATTTATTACTGCACAAAACTATCTTTTTTAAAACTCATTTAAAACTCAGGTGGTAGATATGTAATATAGTACTTGTTTTTTTTTACAGGTAAAAAATCTCATTTTATCCAGCAATAACAGGCCTACAGCCAACAGCCACTGGAGAATCTTATTACCTGGGGGACAAACCAAACCCATGGTTAATCAAGCCCTCTTAAAGGATTACAAAGAAGATTTGGTCGTAGCTGATGCTATTCAAACATTTTATAGTGCCTGATTGTAGTTAGAATTAATTATTTAATTTGTGATCATATGCATCAAGTCTCATCTAAATACTACATCAGTACTTCTTAAGATCTGACTAAAAGATATTACAATAAATAATTGTGTTGTTAAATCAAGAATTGTACATGCTTTGTATAAACTGAAACTAATTTTAAATCTAAAATTCCCGTCATCTTAATACTCAAGGTGTTTGAGAGGTCAAAGTATCCCCATGTTTAGAATCAGTTACCTTTATCTCCTTTACTAGAAATTTACATTCCACCCAGATCAATGGTTGTTAACCTTTTTTGGAGGTACTCAACTCCACCAGCTTCATATGCACATTCACCGAACACTTCTTAATAGGAAAAATAAAGTATTATTTTGTTTCAAATTATAAGCCAAAGTATAAATTTTACTGGTGCACAAAATGAACAGTGCATCAACATCATAGTGTTCAAAGCACAAAACTATTAAAATATTTTCACAAAGAATAGTTACTGCAAATTCATGGTTAACTTCTGCTATTGCCTTTCAAACACCAGTTAAAAAATTCTTGGCTTTACTTTGAATTAATAGTGTTGTGGTCTTATATTTTCCTTCTCCATGCAGCTTAAAGGAGTGTTCTCTTTGCTATCTTGCGTGCTAGTCTAGATTTCCTCACTTTGCAGATAAAGCAGAAAGGACACTGAATCCCACCAAGTTCCATTCATATTGTACATATTTGTCCGACCACTTTCTTTATTTTCTCGACATAGTATGATTGAGGGGATTAAAATTTTAAGTTAGATATCTCAACAGTTGGCAACTGGGCCACAGAAAGGGTGTTCATCACAACACGTATATTGGGCCCACATGATCAATGCACACTCGGATATGCAGTATTTACTAAATTCTAGACTGCACCACAATAGCAATACATGTCTTGCTCTGGAGCACCTTATGTTGTGGCACTGTCATCAGCCACTACTTCTGTCACTGCCCTTACAAAATCTGATTGCTAATCATATGAATCGGGTGTGTTTTGATGCCAAACCCATGAGACCGACTCACCAAACCACTGGTCTAGATTCTACTAAATTCATTGATTAAAAAAGCAAAATTCAATTGATCAAAGTTTTATTTCATTGTGTCAAATGTCAATAGACTTTACCTAAACACAAAAATTTACAAATAAAATAAATACTGGCAATACACCAGTCTAAAGGCATAGCAAAAAAGGCAAATGATTTTGTAAACATATCTAATGCATTTTAAATAACTTGTAATAGGTAAAAATGTTTGACAGATAGACAGTTTTTGAAAGTGTGAACAAATTATGAAATTGGAGCAATAAATGCATTAATTATAGACTTTGCATAATTATACATAAGAAGAATTATTTGAATTTATGAACACTTAAACACTACAAACCAGTGTGACGAAATATGAACAGCACACTACTGATATAAAAATGCTAAACTAGCAGTAATGGTAGTAAGGTGGAGGCATGCTGAATATATTGTTTAGTTTGTGACTTAAAAAAACAAAGTTTACAATAGCTAATTGTACTGATAAAAAGCTCTATTTTACAATAAAAGGCTTTTGTAACAAAATAACTGGGGTTATTTACAATTTAAAATCAGGAGATAAATAAGTATTAAAGTTTAAGAACAGTGGTTTAAAAATAAATTTCATGTTTTTTAAAAAGTATGTAGGTATCCACTACATTTATGTCGCTTTAAAATTCAATTGCTGTACTGTATACTACAAAACTAGTATATGTTTGGATTTAAAAAAAAATTCCAATAGCAAAAACTACGGGCTACTGAAATAAAAAATAAAAAGTATATTTTATTGCACGCCAGTTCCATTGAACAGTCCATTTTGATTAGATTGAATAACAGATTCATAATCGAGCTTAGAGGACAAATTTTCATCATTGACCAATGCAGGGTTGACCTTAAACACCATAGAGCGCCGTTCTGTGGGGCTTATCTCAGTGACGTTGTCCACAACTTCACCAAAGAGCTTATGGCATGGGGTGTTGCTCTTGGACAGCCTGGAGGAGCGTCTTACAGGTGTGACAACCGCCACTGCAGCTTCTGATACTCGTCTGCAAGAAACAAGGTCAATGTAGAAACATGGAAAACTCTTGGAAATATATCAGTAAATTAAAAATACAGATTTGAAACATCCTATATAAAATATAGGAGAAGTTACTTTAAAATACTTAAACGAAATTGTTTAACTAAAGAAGGTCAACACAAACCCATTAACATTTAACTTTAACAAACAGGTAAACAATACAAATTTACTTTGATTAAAAAATACAGCACAAATTACTTTTCATAGATTGCTACCACATTTTATATAGAACTCTTTGAAATGCATATAAATGTTTTAATACTAAGTTAATTGAGATTTCATTAGTTTGCAAAAAATAATTCTCATCATAGTAAGAGACATTTATTCTAGCTTGATCAGGCTGTATAAAATTATACAAATGTAAGGCAACATTTAAATAGCACCTACTTGAAGACCGATTAGTGTAAAGCATTGAAAAAAAAACTGAGAAAAATATTGGCACTAGTAGTAACAGCAAACAACACACATTATCCTACCTTAAAGATGGAGTTGTGACTTTGTATTTCTTAACACTTCCTTCCACAAGGGGAGTCTCAGCTGCTCTTGGTGTCTGACAGGGAGGTAGAGATTCTTGGCTGGGCTGTACTGGAGGGGAACAAGATGAAACTGGTTTGGGATTTCGTGACCTCTTGTTCTGTGGTCCCAAAATTTGAGAGAAGGAATTTTTCATTTCTGTGGCTAGTAAATCACAAGGCTGCGGGAAAAAAGAAAAATAACAAGCTTTACATATCAAGCGCTAAACTTTTCATTACAAATAAACTTTTCATTCTTTTTTCAACATATCACGAAATTAAAAGTATATTTATTATTGAAAAAGGCAACTAAAATGAAAACCAAGAAAAATAAGACAAATCTGCAATAGTTGTTAAAAAATAGAAGTAAAGTGAACTAGTTAACAAAGTACCTGTGCATTGTGTCTGACAGCATCTGTGTATACCTCAAGGACCATTTGAGGAAACGCTCCCATCACTTTAGCCTTACAAATATAGAATGGCGCAAAGGTGACTATTTTGGGGATGTTTGTCTCCATCTCTTCTAGCCATGGTAAAATGTCTTCAAGAGAGCATCCCTAAGGAAGAAACATGGGTAAATTAATATTCCACCAGCAAAAATCTGCTACATTTATTACTAATGAAAATCCATATTTCAAGAAAAAAAAAGAAAACATTTTAAACTCACTGAATAGAAGAGGTTCAAACACTCATCCAGCATAGTTTTCAAGTTGTTCAAAACATCATCACCAATTTCATCATCATGTACTTGGGATGAATTATTCAGATTTTCTGCTTCCAAGTGTTGTTCATTTTCTTTTAAATTATAAAGATAGAAATTACACAAACAAAACTTTTTTGTGTTCGACACATTTAAAAAAATTTTTTTTAGGGAAAAATTATTTGTAAACTGATCTAGTCCAGGCACTATTCAAACTCAATGCTGAATACAGAAATGTAAATCCGTGGGTTGGAAGGTATAGTAATAAAAAAATATAAAAAATAAATAAACATTGTCTAAAATATAACACATTTTTGCCAATTCAAAACTGAATGCTTTTATCATAATTTTGATAATTGCTATATTTCTCAAATGTCCTCACACCAATCTATTTTTAATGTGCAGCATTCTCAAACAAAATTCACAATAAATGCACTTTAGTAAATACCACAGGAGAATTTAGTACCATGCAGGCAACTACCTCTTCTAATACATACGAGCCGACCCGCAGCGTATCATACGCCGCTATTTAGTCGTTTTATTTTCTACTTTTTAGTAATTCATAATTTGTGAATTCGACAGTACCAATGCTGCCACTGAAAATATTTGCTTTAAAACACTAACCCCCCCCCCCCCTTCCCCTAATCTACACCCCCCCCCGTAAAAGCAGCCTCCGCTTAGTTATTTCTTAGTTACCTCCTGTAAGTTTAATATTGAACTAAATTATCTGCCCTTAATATAAACAGGCTCTAAGGCTCTACGATTGGTAAACATTTATCTTTGTAAACATTTAGCGTGACCACAACTCACCAGACAATGTAAGGGTGGGGTGGGGATGGTAGTGATAGTGATAGAGAGAAAGAGAGGGGACTGCAAGATTGCGCTTGCAGCTTGTTTTCTAACGGCTCCCAAAAGAGAATTATATATATAGATAACCATCTCGGAATACTTTATTATGCTTCAAAAAATATGGAACATACCATCCTGCTACAAAAAAACTCAACATGGCACATCTAAGCTTATAACTTTGTAAAACCTATACTGACATATACTGTAAACTAAACATTAGAATGAGTCATTACCTTCAACTATATCCTGCACAACACCATCATAGCTGCATGTTTGTGAAGTATTTTCTTTTCCACATGCAGTGACTGGTGCATCTTTAAACAATTTTTTTCTAAATCCATCAGATTGCTGGTTGCCATTCTATAAACAAGATACTTTAAATTAAAAAAAAAAAGAACAACCAAACACCAAAAATAACCAATGAATCTTAAAATTATTGAAGACCAAATACTATTATAAAGTGCTAACCTTCTGGGAATCTGATAGAACATCTTTCTTCTTTTTTGCTGACAGGCTGGCACCAAAATTCATTAAGTGACGATAATGACCAGGGGTTTTTCCTTTGTCCTTAAGCCAAGCATTTAGTTTTGCCCTATAAATATATTTAGCCATATTGAGAACAGAAAATTTTTTTTGTTAAAAAAAAACTAAAGAAAAATAATTGAAAGTGATTCTTTTTACGAACTCCCGTATTTATACTAGTAGAACTTACATAATTGGTTAAAAGCTAACACCTAGCAGAATCCGATTTCTCTTTACCTTAAACTAGCTTGATCTGTGGCTTTACCAGAAAACTGAACATGTCTGTTATCAAGTGCACTGTATTCCTGGAAAATTTGTTGTTAGACAAATGTAATTGATGTTTGGACACTCATTATATTTCTTTCGATGAACATGCAGTATTTGTGCTAACAAAACACAATAACCAATTGGTCTAATTAGCTTCTGGGATGTTAAGTACATGATGATAAAATATGCTAATACCTTCATTGTTGAATTAGCACCAGGAGCTCTTTTTAAAATACTTTTTGGAATCTGATTTTCATCCTTGGCCAGTTTTTCTTTAAAAAAGAAAAATATTATCATAAATCATAAAAAATATTGTTTTTCCTAACAATGAATGCAGGCAAACTTAAACAACATGAATGTATCAACTCACCACTAGTCCAGCTTCTTCGATTAGGTGTAAAAACTTTCTGCAATGGTTTGTCTTCACTGAGAAACCCAGGATGAGATTTCCTTTTCAGAGCTGGCCTGTTGACATTGACATGTGAAGTATTACCCAAGCATTTCTTAGCTGAGCATGCGCCACACCTGGCATGAGGTCCAGCCTCAGTGTTCTGGCACGCTGGGAGTGAGTCAGGCTTATGCACTACTTTGTTAGTAGCATGAGGTTTTTTCACAGAGGAGAAAGTAGCAAGGGATCTCCTCACTGGTTTGGATTTTGTTGAACTGCTGTTTACTTTTGTAAACCTGTGTTCAACTTTAGAAGGCACAGGAAGGAGGCCAGTGCGTGACGTCATGACAATATTTCAAACTGAAAGAAAGAAAAAAAATGAATAATTTTTTTTTTTAGGCCATGACTGTCGATTTCTACAATGAATGGAAATGCATGTAGACCTTCCCTCTGCAACCATCAATTTACCATTTTTAAAGCAAGAAGAAATAAATATCAGGTAAAAAACACGTCAGTTTTAATCATTAAAAAAATAATTTGATGCCACACTTAAGCAGTTTACAAAATAACAAACTGAAAGTTAGTGGTAATTTAACATTTATTAAAAGACATTCCTTATGAAATTTTTCATGATCAGTTACAATGCCATTGGCATTTTAATTTGTTTGTTATTCTTATCATGATTTCCCACGAAAATCTAAGGCCCATGGCATATACTTTTCTCTCTCTTTTGCAAACAAACTCTCAATAACTTCAAAAACAAGAACACATAGCTATTTACTTGGTGTGGATGTATAAAAAGAGTTATTGTTGTGTAGGTCTAATCATGATCAGCCCTATTGGTTTAAAAAATGTACAACAGATAGCTAGATCTAGTGGTGGTTTAGTTTAGAACATCCAAACAATTATTACAGACTCTCTAGTAGATCTAGATCTAAGTGAAAAACAGGACAGAGGAGGGGGGTAAAAACTACATTTTAGCGTATTTTATTCCCCGCTTCACTTTCACCTACAGTTGACCAAAACACACAAAAATGTTAGAAAAACATTGGGTTTATTTCTTTATGAAGTATTGATAATTTACTTTTGTCAAAACTTGAGAAAAATTCAAATTGGAATATTGAATGCTATAAATAAACTTTTATGAACTCACGATGACCCCAACATGAGGCCAACACCATTTCAAATAGCTATTGCCCAAGCTATGACTTATGCTAATAATGGAAGTCAATGAGTATGAGAACTCATGGTGAACCCTCGACCGTGTAGGGATTTTCCTCCCGCTGACGATCACAGGCTATTTAATTGGAACTGTCCTAATGCTTTTTTATGTTGTTTTTTTACCTTTTCTAATTAAAACTCACATTCATATAAAAATAAATAAAAAAGATCTAGAATCTAGATCTAATCCTAGTGTTTTGCTAACGTTTTTGTGTGTTTCGGTTGCGTTTATAATAAAATACGCTCAACAGGAGGTGAACGTGAAGCGGCGAATAAAATACGCTAAAATGGAGTTTTACAGAGGAGGGTGATATTTACTAGATCTGTATTAATTTAACAACTGTGGTTTGACAACGTACGTCGGACAGCATTTTGCCATTTTTCTTTAGATTATCTACTCTAGAATCTAGATCTAGTCTAGAATAGATCTAGTCACTAGCCTTCTGCCTTCTAGATATTAGTTAGATTACTCTAGAAATAGAATCTAGATCTAGCTAGAGTTTAGACTTAGAGTTTAGACCAAGGCCTACGTTACTAAACTAATAGATCTAGGCCTACTTACTTAATAACTTATTAAAGTTATTATTAGGCATTAGGCCTACTAGTACTAATTCTACTAAAATCTAGGTATTCGGTCTGTCTCAGTGACAGTCAGATAAGCAGTATTACTAGATTCTAGATCTACTGGTCTAGTCTAGACTATCCATTATCACTCAGTTGTGATAGTAGATCTAGAATTGTCAGTGATTTTGTGGTGTAAGGCCGGCGAAAGCCGTCGTTAGCCACTGACTGGAAAGCTGAGTGACTGGGAGTCAGTGAGTGAGTGAGACAAACGGCTAAACATTAGGAACGGGCCTTTTTATTAACTTCTTACCGTATTGAACTGCAGGTCTATAGTTAAAATTAATTATATTGCTCGGGTGATTTCATACAATAGCAAAATTAAAGGCAATAACATACAATCTTTCACAGCTAAATCATAGAACGACGATCCAGCGACTGTTTTATTTTGGTATCGAAATTCTGGTATCGGAAAATCACCTGAAGTCGGCTAATTTTTTTAGCAAATAGCAATTCGACCTATTAAAGTTTTACAGTATTTTAGAGCAATATTCAAACATATTATTAAATTCTTACCTTTTTGTTATAAGTCACTAGCCATGCGGCATGAAAACTAAATATAATTTATGATAATTTCGATTGATTATGTAAACAACATTATGGTATTATAAATATTATAGGAATCGAGTCTTCATAATTTTGAAAATTTCAATGTTGGCGGTCTTCCGGTTTACATTTTCTTAAAGCTCGGCCCATTTAAAATTAAATTAGTAAACGCCACCGCTCAAAGTTGTGGTCAGCCCAGGTCAGCTAAAGTACTAAACCCATTTATTTACTAATAAAAACTTCACCAACGATATGGAAAATTATCGAATAAAAGCTGCAATTTATGGTCGTCCGTAATGGTGAATTATTATTTAATTATTTTAATTGTTTTATATGGCGCCAGGTTATTTAGTGCCCTAGGCAAAACTTCAAGCGCCCCCCCACCCCCTCAAACTTTCAATTTGCACCCCCTCAAACTTTCGATTTGCACCCCCCCCCCCCCCCCATCAAACTTTCAATTTTGTTTCCAACCCATTTTGGTGCCCCCCCCCCTACGGACAGCGCCCGAGGCGACCGCCTAGTTCGCCTTATAGGTAGCGCCGGCCCTGCGTAGAGGGGAGAAAAGTAGGCGAATCTAGCCTTTTTATATAGTGTTATTTTTATTGGGAGGAGGTGGGATAGTAAACTTGTTTCCTACAACAAGTAATATAGGCCTACGAGATCACCAAAACCTGCCGAGCCGATGACAACAATATCACTTAATCGTGTAATATATATTGTTATATATATATATATATATATATATATATATATATATATATATATATATATATATATATATATATATATATATATATATATATATATATATATATAGTAACGGTCATTAAAATTTATAAAATAGTTAAACCCTAAAAGCATCCATGAGTTCTCACTTCGAAAGGGAGTCAATTTGTCTTAAAATTTTCTGTATAGAACGTATTACCCAGAAGTTGTTTCCCTTTGTGACTAACTTTCTTGAGCTGCAAATTTTATATCATGTTTTTTTTTTCTCCTGTATGTAAACATTGTATTTCGTATTAAGACCTGAGAATATAGGCCTTGTCAAAAAGGGCTCCCGAAAAAGCTCATGTCAAATATACCGTACAATAATGTAATGTAAAAAGTTGGCGTTAAATTTGCGAGAGTTGTAGATCAGTCTCATGCAGAACATCAAGCCCTTTCTGTTCAATAAGCTCACAGTTTGTATAGACAACCCTTGAAAATTAAGCTCTTTAGAATATTAAGCTCCCGCCATAGGTCTACATTAAATACTTACAATTGACTTAACTCCCATTAAATTAAAAAAAAAACAACAACAACAATTTTCTCGCTATCCTTTTAGATTTAGCCCTCTCTTTCTTCACTTTTAATTTGTGCAATAATTCAGCTGGGCGTATCGACCCGTTTCGGCGCCCGTGGACCCCCCCCCTTATATAGTTGTTCACTTTAATAACGTAGAGTACGGTGGGCTTTTTTGCGAGGTACATATTATTGTAAGCCCTATAGTCGAGTTAATAAGTTGTTGGTGACATTTTCATTATCCTTTTTCCGGTGTCATTTTTTTGTGTGTGCTGGTTTGTCGTAACGTTTTTGCCAGGGGTCCGCTACTACACCAGTCCAACAATATACACCATCCTCACACCATACACCTCAGCAGCTGAGTACCTATCTCTACTGTGTGCCATATGTTATACATCAGTGATCGAAGCAGCGTAAACAATACTGAGGCGCAATCATTATCCAACATAGTTGACGTCAGTGTATTAAAAAATAACAACACTCCCCGACACCGTTTCCCTTGATTAGTTGATAGGCAAAGTAGACTTCATATGTATCGCTCTCCGTCCCACGTAACACAACAATACATATTGTGTGCTACACCAAATTTCCGGTCCACTAGTTTTAATTATTTTATTCCGTCATCCATGTCAGTCGTATGTATGCATGCTAAAGCGAAGGTCAAAGTAAGAACAGAGAAGTATTAAAAATTTAGGAAACGCCTTGGATACTTTGTGACAAGTTATAACTACAAATTATTTCTATGGGGGGGGGGGGGGGGGGGGAATCAAGTCTGTCTGTACATTCAGCAGTGTGCTAATTTAGAAAAATCTAACCTTAAACCAATGCCATAAGCTAGGACTGATGCTATATTTGTAGATAACTTCTGTAGTAAAGGGGGGGGGGTTCAGATAATCGATAAGGTGAATACTTACTTTTTGAAGACATTTTAATCACAACTACGTTAGAATTATTTTTTTTTTTTTAATTTTTACATGAGACTTATGAGATTAGCCGAGCGATACTTTATCTGAGGTAGAGTCAGTTTACCATCACTGCTGGGTGGAGGCAGGACACTGGATGGTAATCATTTGTCCAGACACTGGACAGCATCCTACCATTAGCTGTTTACATTTTATGCATTCTGCTTTCCTGCTACGGGGGGCATCAGAATGGCGCCAGCCACCCAGTGCGGTTCGAACCCCAGCCCTGTGACACTACTGAGCACTGGCCCCCATGTTTTCAAAGCACGACAAAACACACATGACTCTTTTGAACCTGATGGTCCAAACCTTTCACAAAACAAACAAATTTATTTGAATGCCACAATTAAAAGCTTTATTTTTAAAACCTATATTGAACTGCAAATTCTATACAATCATAGAGGGCTACTTATTAAAAAAGTTATTGTAACAGGTAAAATGTAATACTTTTGTAAATGAAAGCGTTTCTCAACACACAAAATCACGCACAAATGTACGTCTTGTTTCTAATTTTGTATGCTGTTATTCTGTGTGAGGCTGCCCAAACTAAATGTGTCCACAAGTCGAGCTATTCAACATCGAATTCCATCTCTGCGCATGTCACAACGTCGCCATTGTAGCTTATCGTTGCTTTTATCTTGAACTCGCCAGTCACGGGCAGCGATTGGCCGATCTCTATATCAAGTGCTGATATCTTGAAATCGCCCTGAAATAGAATGGTATTTTGTTTTCATTTTTGACAGTTAAAAACAAAGAGCCGAGCAAACTAAAGAGGAAGTAACAAATTTAAATGAAAAGCTGAAGACACTGATAAGAAGGAGACGAAGGACAGGTTAAATGGACTGCTAAACAGAGGCGTAGCGAGGGGGGGGGGGGCATATGTCCCCGGGCGCCGACCTTAGGGGAGGGGCGCGCCAAAATGGGTTGGAAAAACAAATTGAAAGTTTGAGGGGGTGCAAATCAAAAGTTCGAGGGGGGTGCAAATCAAAAGTTCGAGGAGAGGGGTGCAAATCGAAAGTATGAGGGGGGTGCAAATCAAAAGTTCGAGTGGGGTGCAAATCGAAAGTTTGTCCCCGGGAAGGGTCGCTACGCTTCTGCTGCTAAAAGCTGAAGACACTCACTGATTGCAAAGAGGACACGGAAAATAAAAGTGAAAAACTCACCGATGGGAACGGACAATGACAGTCAAGCCCAAGCTTCTTTAAATCCTCTGGGCAGGTTTTGATATTGATCTTGCTGCACAGGTCGTCGTACGTGCATGATCCGACGTCATGGATACATGGGACTGGCATCCAGATGAAGCCAAATTTCTTGGAGACCTCTAGTTGAGCCTGGGGCGCAGAGAGTCAGTTTATTTTTAGTTTAGTTCTATCAGGGGGTCGTCCATAAATGACATGACCCTTTTTATTTTTTTACTATTGTTACTTCCCCAACCCTCATCGTCACACATAGTTACAAAAAGCCAGAAGCCCACTCCTAAAATTACATCACACCTTAGTCTATAGCACCTCCCTCAAAAATATAATTTTCTTTTAATACATCGATTTCGTTATAACATCATTTGATCGATTTCTATTACAATTGCCAAAAACAGCCTTTATAAAACACAAAATAATGGCAAAAATTCCGTTTATAACATTAATTTTCGTCACACAATTCCACCCCCCCCCCTCCCCAGATGTGTGATGTCGTTTATATGACAAACCAGTAGACAACTAACGGGATGCGAACAAACGCAGAGGTAACCAGAAGTATTGTTTTTGTAGTGGAGAGTTCTGCTGTATTCAACTAGCATTAAAACGGAAAAAGTTTCAGTTTTATGACATTTCATGACAAGTGGCATGGAGACTCATTAGGTGACGTAATGGACACAACACAATATTCAAAATTAGATTTCTAAGTACATTTACATGTTCACATTCTAAATAGGAAATTTTTGTTTTTATTATGAGCAGGCCTACTAAAATATACGACATTTCAATTTATTATTTTTATTATGAGTAGGCCTACTAAAATATACGACGTTTCAATTTTTTTTATTATTATCACGAGTAGGCCTACTACAAAGTAAAATGTACGACATTTCACTTTTTGTTTTTACCTTCAACGGAGCTCCAAATTTGGACTTAATGTCCATGTTCCCAGAGAAAGTCAGCTTCCCAGGCAGGTGTATGGGGTCAGGGGACAGCTGCACATCTGAAAACGTGGCTATCTCACTCCCTGGGTCGGCGCAGTTGCTGAACGAGAAAGATTTCAACTTGGAAGATTTCTGTGGAAGAAGTGCGGGTGTTGAAAGTATCGGTATACAGTGTAACAGGTTTAAACTTATAATTGGATGGAAAAATCTAGCTTAGTTTATGCATTTTACAATCTTTTACTTAAAGCACAGATTTTCTTTCTTTAGATATAACGGTAAAATCGGGGGGGGGGGGGGATGATTTATTCTTTTTCAACCAACACTTTGACTAATACGAGCGCATATATTTGTAAAGATCAGATGTGTATATTTTCTTAGCTTTCACCATCTTTTCACGTTCGTACCCAAGACACATGGGCAGGTGAAGGAGAGTTCATCTGTTTCAGGGACCTCGGCATATTATGAAGAGATAGTGTAGTCAGCACTATGCTAAGCCGCCTTTGATTTCCCTAATGAGAGTTAGCTACCCATTAGAGCTGGGTGGACACAGCGACATTCTACTGATTTGAACCCGTATTACAACTCGGGACTCTCGAATTAACTGCTTAGCTCTCTACCGTCCGCTTTCTTAGCTTTACAATTCTTATTCACGTAGTAAGTGCCTATGCGATTTTTTGTGCGTTGCTAGCTACGATAAGGAAAAAGGAAATCCTTTGGGAGGGGGGGGGGGGTTAAAAAGATTTAGAAATATTCGTTAAAGTAGAAAATAAAATAAGCACTGAAAAAAAATTTCTTATTCTAAGATGCATATTTATGGATTATGATAGCTATTCTATAGAGTGAAAAAAAAAGACAAAACATTATGAAGATTAATAATTGATACAAGAAACGAAAAAAGAAATGTACACAACATCATGAAGTTGGTAAAAAAAATATCAATTACTATGTTTTTATTAAAGTAAATAATAGATAGTTTAAAAATTCTCTTTAATTTCACAACAAAAACTGCATAGCGTTTGATTAATACAGAATACATGACGTGAATTGCTCTGCCTTAAACCACATTAAACATGCGTACCTTAGCCTTGACGTCCAGAAAGTGAGTACTGTTGCGTAAAAACTCAGAGAGGAGCTTGACTTCTTCGTAAGCCTCAACCTTGAACTGGTCCATGATCTCCACATAGTTCCCGCATGCTGGCGCCACTAGTAGCACAGCCAGAACAAAACACAAGTACATCTTGTTTCGAGATACGAAGACAGCAACTTGTGTTAGAGATACGAGGGTTTTGTTGTAACACTGAGCAGTTTATACGCCAGGATGTTCTGAAATGTTGCTTGAAGGTCCTGCCTTTTATAATCCCCGGCAGAAATACAGAGGGAGGCAGTGGCGTCGCTTGGTCGGGTGCGGCACCTCATGGTGTCACCCCACCCTCCACAGCAATAGCTTAATTTAGCATTGTTTTCAATATAGTAGCCAGGTGTTGTTTTTTTTTCGGGATCGTCAATTTGTAGTTAAAAGATTTTTTAAAATCTAAAATTAATCATAAATTGAACTTCAAAGAGCCTTTTCATCAACATATTTTGCAATTTTTAGTCTTGGTGTCACCCCCCCCCCCCCTTTGGTGTCATCCAGGGGGGGGGGGGATCGCACGGAGCTAGCTTGATATTAACTCTTTTCACTTTGTTAGATATTAGGTCTTGCCAGTGTGTTTTAGATCATGTCAGTGTGTTGGATATAACAGTGTAACGTTGTTGAATTTTAGGTCTTATCATATTTGTTGAATATTAAATCTTGCCATTTTTATTTTGTTAGATATTTTTTATCATATGTTAACATTTGTCATTTAACTGAATACTGATATTAAATCTTTTTTATTTTGTTGGATATTTTTAATTATTTGTTAACATTTATTGTCACGTAACTGAATATTACGTCATGTAACTGTTGGATATTAAATCTCAATATACAATCTCTAATCAACTGAATTTAGCTATTGATTAAGTATTTTTCTCTATATTAGAAAGTATTTACATCTCGGGACCCCCCCCCCTTCGGGTCTCATGCAGTTGACGCCTATGGTGATGACGGTGTCAACTGAGAATAGGAAATCCCTGTATGTTTTCTAACTTACCTCCCTGTCTTTAGAACGGTAACGCAACACGGCGACAACATGACTGTTATATAATACGAGCCGACCCGCTGCGTATCATACGCTGCTATTTAGTTTTTTTTTCTACTTTTCAGTAATTTATAATTTGTGAATTTGACAGTACCAATGCTGCCACTGAAAATATTTGCTTAAAAACACTAACCCCCCCCCCCCCCCCCCCACGTGAAAGCAGCCTCCTCTTAGTTACCTCCTCAAAATCGTTTCAAACTAAATTATCTGCCCCTAATATCCAAACCCGTCTCTATGATTGTAAAATGTAAACAGCATGAACCACAACTCACCAGACCATGTGAGGGGGTGGGGGGTGGTAGCGATAGAGAAGAAGAGAGGGGACTGTAAGGCGCGCTTGCAGCTTGTTTTCTAACGGCTCCCAGAAGAGAATTATATATATAGATTATATACAGTATACAACATACAACCTACAAAAAAGCGGGCGTGGAGATCACGATTTCACCATACCAGGATACAGGATGGCCTTGCTGTTAGTATCGCGTCTATAAAATAGAAAGGGGGGGGGGGTAAGATCAGTAGCGTACGCAGGGGGGGAGCAGGGGGAGCGGCCGCTCCCCCTCTGGCCATTTTCAACAAAGTGGCGCCTTTTTGGAAACTTTTTAAACTCAAAGTTTTAAACAATGATATTTGTTAAAAAATATTTTTGGTCGGCACATCTATGTAAATCACAAGATACCTCTACGGTAGTACCACTTGGCAAGAAGGGTGTTAAGTTTAAGGTAACTGTATAATGTATTTGCTTACGAATAACTGAATTAGAAAATTATACATAAAACCTCACATATAATTACTTTAAATATACAGTTTGAATCGTGTGATTGATTTTTAAAAAATTACAATACAGAAACAAATACAACTGATGTGGCACCTCTATTTAAATTTACTTATGAGCAAACTGCGTAGTGTTGGGGAAATTTTGACAACGTCAACAACGTCATCATGATGAAGTAGTAGATCTAGTATTCTTACAGTTTGGGCGATAGTGATTACGATTACAAAATATATGAAACAGTTACAACCCCCCTCCCCCATGGACCCCTCTGTAAAAAAAATATTGTTATAATACCACCGCTACTTATTTAAATCTATTTCTATAATATATATTTGTGTAATATATATGGGCCTATGTATGTTTAGAACAGTCATCTAAAAACTGACGCTATGTTTACTTTGAGTTGGTTATCTCCCCCCCCCCCCCCAACACTCACACACACACACACACACCTCACCACCACACTTGTGTAGAGCGACATTAATGTCACACCTAGGTATACACTGGGTTGGATAATTAACCTAAAGTGAACGGACAGTGGTGAATGAAGTTGAACTCACCACCCCCCCCCCCCAACCCAACCCAAGCTGATCTGTTAAGTACATGTAGAAAAACGCGTAATGATGTACCAAAGTACCATGCCGCCAGAAAATTAGCTTTTCAAACGTAAAAAGTTTTGAATATTGTTTTTGCAATTACCAGTAAAAAGGTATGTGATCAATACAAACTAAATTATCTGCCCCTAATTGTCCTCACCAAACCCGGCTCTGTTTGTAAACATTTAGAGTGAACCACAGCTCACCAGACCATGTAGGGGTGGGGTTGGTAGGGAGCGCGTTTACAGCTTGTTTTCTAGCGTCTCCCAGAAGAGAATTATATATATAGATGCTGTTATTCCGAATGTTTTTCAATTACATCGAAAAGCGTGGTTTTATACCAACTCTGATTAAAAAAACTTTCATTATGCTGTAATACTTTAGCATTTATGATGACGATATATTAAATTCTGATTATAGACAAAAACGTTTTATTAACACGAATAGTGTTAAACAATTTCATTATATTCTAAAGTAATTATTTATTTGTTTTGACATTTATAATTAAATGTGTAGATATATACACATTTATATTAAGAGCGTGATTATTTCCCCTATTTCACTTGTCTTAAATAATTTCCCAGGAATTATTATGTAAGAATTTTTTTAACAAGAATTACAAAACAGATTGTGTTACGTTCATTGTTTTTAGTTGTAGTGTGTGTATATTTTTTTTTGTTTAGATTGATACAATTTTTGTTTTGTCGGCCAACATTGTGTGTTTTTTTCTTATTTCTTCAGAGTGCTACTTTCAATTTATTTTACAGTAATGACATACAGCTAGTAATTATATATATATATATATATATATATATATATATATATATATATATATATATATATATAATAAAATACACGTAGGCCTATATAGAACGTGTTACAAATTCGGCGCCTTTTTTTGCTCTTTTCGCTCCCCCTACAACGAAAACCTGGATACGCCTCTGGGTAAGATTAAAAAAAACCCTGATAAAACCAAGCACTTTCAGTTTCGATGACGTCACTCTTTGTATTTTAAACTGTCATGGGAGAGATTTGGGGGGGGGGGGGTTATTTCCCATTATTTCCCACAGAGTAGGGGTCCCAACTAGTTTGGTGGTTGTTGCCAACATAATTGGGGCTGTGTCCGATTAATTAGGTTGTGTACAAAGTTGCTCGTGCATAAATCTTTGTTAGAATTGATTAAAATCTTTAATTAAAATTAGTTACTGCAAACGTTGTTTTTAAATGTTTTCATCTAATTGTTTGTAAGTGATCTAACTGTAACAGGAAAGTGTCGCAAGTGATCCAGTCAACAGGAAACAGCTGTCCTTTAGGATTCCCGGCGTACGAGAATAATCTGAATAGCCTCAAAGAAACAACGCTATTCAATGGCTTCTCACATCACTGACGCTTTAGTTGCATTTTACTTCTCAGTACATACATTTTATAAATAGCTTTGAAAATAATATTCACAAAGAAGCGCGTGTTGTGGCAATCATCTAAGAAATTAATTACACTTCCCCTTTTACAGTAAGAAGTGATAGATTTAATTTAAATGGTGTCTCGGCATTTTATAATCATGTTTTATAGGAATCATTTAGAAAATTAAATACACTTCCTCTTTTACAGTAAGAAGTGAGAGATTTAATTCAAATTGTGACTCAGCATTTTAAAATCAATTTAGAAACGCACGTACTTTGCTTCACTTTGAATTTTACTTACCAATAAAGGAAGGTTATTGATTTGTTTCTATGTAACATGTTATATTTTCAGTTTTATTGACATATATTTACCCAATTCTCACATACTTATCTGGCATGATTACTCATATCTGGCAATGGTAAAACAACGTAAGCAATGTTGACCATTATTTTGTCCAAAATTAGAAAAACCAGAAACATTGCCATTACTCAGTTTAAGAGGTCATAAAATAATTATATTTTATTTTGTTGTATTTTTGTTTTTTTGGAATATATTTTCAGATACAGATAGTTTTATTGTATTAGGGAGATTTTTCCATATATTTGCACCAGAATAGACGAAGTTGTCTTCGGAGAAAAAAATATAAAAAGATGGGTAAACACATTCGACGTTTCAATTTTGTGTTGTAAGAAAATATGTAAGTTGAATAAGGAAGGGCTGATTTGTGAAATAGTTTATACAAAAAAATTTCTTTAGTATATATATATATATATATATATATATATATATATATATATATATATATATATATATATATATATATATATATATATATATATAGGTACTCTAGAATGTACAAGAATCATTTAAAACTAATCTCCTCTTAAACTAACACGATTTTGATCCAAGCTAGTTAGAAAGTAACTTTTAAAAAGGTCATTTTAGAAGATGAATACAATTATGCCTAGTCGGATCATTGTCTAACCCTAGATGTTAGTAATTGAAGATTTTATTTTCTATTTTAATAAGCAATGAAGTTGTTGTCGTTTTGAGGTGTAGTAATGAGCATTGGGTTTTTTCGGGGCGAAGCTGCAGTTTGTTGACGTTTGCCCAGTTGACCAGTTGTAGCACTCACTCAAGTGTGTGAAGAATGCTGTCCACCCAGTTGACCAGTTGTAGCACACACTCAAGTGTGTGAAGAATGCTGTCCACCCAGTTGACCAGTTGTAGCACACACTCAAGTGTGTGAAGAATGCTGTCCACCCAGTTGTAGCACACACTCAAGTGTGTGAAGAATGCTGTCCACCCAGTTGACCAGTTGTAGCACTCACTCAAGTGTGTGAAGAATGCTGTCCACCCAGTTGTAGCAC